GAGTCTGTTGGGTTTAAAGATCTGAATCTCGCTCACCTGATGGAATGCGTTTTTCTTGTATGCTTATAAAATATTGGCTGCTTAGCCACCCTTTTCATATGGAAGGATTTTCTGAGGATCTGTTCTCTGGCTCTGTCCTCCCATCACAATCTGTGATAGTTTCCTTTTTAGTGTGGATCACACCATATGTTACTTATGGAGCGGTGGATTTCTGTGCCAAATTTTAAATCGTGGGAAGAGCTAGTTATTCAGATGGCAAGAGAGGAAGAGGGCGCAACAGATTAAAACAGCAATTTTAAATTCATTCGCATGTGTATGTAATGGGCGTGCGAGACTGTCGTGCCGTCCTCTTTGGTGTGAAAATATACAACTGCTTGACTGTCTGAACCTTCTGTAGGTCCATAACAAATTTGCATCTCTGTGACGAAACTGCTGGCTGACTGTGCAAACTTTGACCTTATTTGCCTCCCAACCCAAGTGGGAGGGGCACCAGCATTAGAGAAATGTATATGCAAATGTAATGCATCTTAGGATCTCTGCTTGCATTCCTGCATTCGCCTGGTTTGTGAGGGAAGAGGACAACAAATAGGTTTTTAAAATTATAATTATGGGGCAAATTGCAGACTACTCCTGGGCCTCAGACACATGGGAATTCCAGGCTTGAAAGACTTCACAGTGAGGGAAAAATAAGGTTAGAATGTGTTAAGATAATTACCGGTATAGGATAGAAAACAGAGGAAGATGGAGAGGAATTGCTGAAAACAATTAATAGAAGTGGAAGACAAAAAGGGAGGTGTGAGGAGGTCGTGGAAACAAGTGAATGAAAGATAAGATATTGAAATTGGATTGTGTTTTGAATGGTTTTTGTTTTGTTTTGTTAATAGTTTGTGTTAGTGTTTTGTAGTGTTTTTTGTCTTGTATTGTATTGTTGTAATTTTTTTTGGTTTTTTGTAGTGTTGTGTTTAAATTGTTGAAAATTAATAAATATTATTTTTTTAAAAAATTAAAGACTTCACAGTGAAAGCAGAGTTGATTGATCCAATGGCTCTGGCTTCTAGAAGGATGCTTCATTGTATAGGATCCTTTTTTTGCGGTGCTGATTGGTAAAAATGCCAGTGTGGACCAGGTGGGGGGTGGGGGTCAGGATGAAGGGCCTTTTCAGTGGTGGCCCTGCATACCCAATGAGACTCACCTGGTCACCTCCCTCCAATCTTTTAGATGACAGGCAAAGACACCTCTCTTCTGCCCAGCTTTTCATAGAATAATAGAATTGTAGAGTTGGAATTGTAGAGTTGTTTATCAGCTCCATCTGGTATGCAGGCTGAGACCCTACCTGCCCACAGACTGTCTCACCAGAGTGGTGCATGCTCCAGTTATCTCCCGCTTGGACTACTGCAATGCGCTCTATGTGGGGCTGCCTTTGAAGGTGACCTGGAAACTACAACTAATCCAGAAAGCGGCAGCTAGACTGGTGACTGGGAGCAGCCGCCAAGACCACATAACACCGGTCTTGAAAGACCTACACTGGCTTGTAGTACATTTCCGAGCACATTTCAAAGTGTTGGTGCTGACCTTGAAAGCCCTAAAGGGCCTCGGCCCAGTATATCTGAAGGAGCGTCTCCACCCCCATTGTTCAGTCTGGATGCTGAGATCCAGCTCCAAGGACCTTCTGGCAGTTCCCTCATTGCGAGAAGTGAGGTTACAGGGAACAAGACTTCTCGGTAGTGGCACCCGCCCTGTGGAACACCCTCCCATCAGATGTCAAAGAGAACAACGACTACCAGACTTTTAGAAGACATCTGAAGGCAGCCCTGTTTATAGAAACTTTTAATGTGTGATGCATTACTGTATTTTAATATTTTCTTGCAAACCGCCCAGAGCGACTGGGGAAGCCCAGCCAGATGGTTGGGGTATAAATAATAGATGATGATGATGATGATGATGATGATGATGATGATGATTAGGGATCCCCAATCGTCATCTAGTCCAACCCCTTGAAATGCAGGAATCTCAACTCAAGCATCCCTGACAGGTGGCCATCCAACCTCGTGTTTTAAAAACCTCCAAGGAAGGAGAGTCCCATGAAGGAGAATTTGGGGAGGGGGTTGAATGGTTTTGAAGAATTTCAGTTTCCTTCCGTTGGCCTGTTGCTTTAAGTATGCTGCCCCGTGAGTTGAAATAGCTTTTATGAACTTCTCGTTTGTTTGATTTCGGCACACCTCCCAGCGCCATAAGGGGAAGGGCAGCCTACAAATACTAATACAAGATTAGGTGATGTGTTAATGAGGATATGCTTCGTGTCGTTTTTAATAATAATAATAATAATATCTTTATTGTCATTGCCCCCTCTCGGGGACAACGAAATTACTTGGCTGCTCCATCCACCCTCGTTCAATAAGAGCAATAATACCTTGTGAAACTGGGAAGGGCGCTTTATAATTTGTCTGCAGGAAGTCCCGGGTTCAGTTCCTGGCATCTGCACCAGGAAGGGCTGGGAATGTCCTCTGCCAGGAGCCCTGGAGAGCTGCTGCCAGTCAGTGTAGGCTATACTGCGCTGATTCACGCTGAAGTGCTAAACCTGTATCTGGGCAGTATAATTTCAATTTGCACGGACAGGGGAAATATCTCATGACTGCACTTAATCACTACAAAACATGAAATCCCTGCACACAGAGTACTAGCATGCCAGGAAGAGGGCAGGCCAGAACCCTTCCCTCTGGCACCTAGATTTTATTGTAGACATAATTGTTTCTGTACATAGGAGCATTTGCTCCCTCGATTCCCTCGCCTACAGGCTGAAGTGATGCAGCCCAAGCACAGATTTGCTATTAAACTAAGTTTCACTCAAGGTAAAAAGGTAAAGTAAAGGGACCCCTGACCATTAGGTCCAGTCGTGACCCACTCTGGGGTTGTGGTGCTCATCTCGCTTTATTGGCCGAGGGAGCCGGCGTACAGCTTCCAGGTCATGTGGCCAGCATGACTAAGCCGCTTCTGGTGAACCAGAGCAGCGCACGGAAACGCCGTTTACCTTCCCGCCGGAGCGGTACCTATTGATCTACTTGCACTTTGACATGCTTTCGAACTGCTAGGTGGGCAGGAGCAGGGACCGAGCAACGGGAGCTCACCCCGTCACGGGGATTCGAACCGCTGACCTTCTGATCGGCAAGTCCTAGGCTCTGTGGTTTAGAGCACAGCGCCACCCGTGTCCCTCTCACTCAAGGTTGACCTACTTAAATGAATGGACCTAACTTAGTCATGTTCGTTGATTTCAGTGTGTGTGCTTTGGATAAAACGCAGTTTAATACCTTCCCAGGAAATTCTTATTCCATTAAAGAAAATGATCCTGGAACATTTTTACAATAGGAAAACTTAAAATGCAATCACATGAAAGCAGTGATGAAATAACATCTCCGTCCATCAAACCACTGGGTGGTTTTCAGTAAACTGCTGTCTCTTTCAACTCCCTGTTGTTGTTGGTGTTTTTGTTGATAATAGTAATACTCCACCCATCCGGCTGGATTGCAGAATGGAGATAATGTTGCCTATTTTACAAGATGATGACATGCAAATAATCGAAAGCACCTTTACAAACAAGATCTCTGGCAATAATAATAACTTTAGGGTGATATTTACCAGGGTTCACAAGGCCGTGTGTGGCAAATGGGAGGTGACAGGTTGCAGAACTTTTAAAGGCATTGGCAGGATTTCTGGGTCATGACCGAGCAGAGAGAGGTGTGTGGGTTGAACAGGTCATAGACTCATAGAATATACAGGCTGTGTTCATATGCCGTGCTGAACCACAGTTTAGTGCTTCAGGCTGTGTTAGTACGTAATGCAAAGCCACAGTTTACTACTTTGCAGCTGAGCCTCCCTCAGTCGTGAGCGAAGAAGCATCAGGCTTGTGTGCTGCCCTCTCCATCTCCCATATGGCTTGTGCTAAGATTATACTAGACTTCGCTGAATCTCGCCTTAGCTTTAGGGGCAAACCAGGTTTACTAAACCACTAGTCAGTTTGAACAACCTGGCTTCATAAACCCTGGTTTGAAGTTGGGCTTGTTAAGCAACCGATTGCAGTTTGTTGCAAACCAGTACAGTGGTACCTCAGGTTACAGATGCTTCAGGTTACAGACTCCGCTAACCCAGAAATAGTGCTTCAGGTTAAGAAGTTTGCTTCAGGATGAGAACAGAAATCATGCTCCAGCTGCGCAGTGGCAGCAGGAGGCCCCATTAGCTAAAGTGGTGCTTCAGGTTAAGAACAGTTTCAGGTTAAGAACAGACCTCCAGAACGAATTAAGTACTTAACCCAAGGTACCACTGTATTCCTGGTTCATAATAATAATAATAATAATAATTTTTTATTTATACCCCGCCCTCCCCGGCCAGAACCGGGCTCAGGGTAACTAGCACCAATAAAATTACAATAAAACATAATAGGAAAGGGGGAAAAGAAATTAAAAAGTTAATTAAAATATGGGTTAAAATACAGTTTAAAATGCAGCCTCTTTTTAGTAGTATCCCATAAATCAGAACCATAAGGGGAGGGAAACATAAGGGTCAGACTGAGTCCAAACCAAAGGCCAGGCGGAACAGCTCTGTCTTGCAGGCCCTGCGGAAAGATGTCAAGTCCCGCAGGGCCCTGGTCTCTTGTGACAGAGCGTTCCACTGAGTCGGGGCCTGTACTGAAAAGGCCCTGGCCCTAGTTGAGACCAAACTAACCACCTTGCGGCTCGGGACCTCCAAAGTGTTGTCATTTGTGGACCTTAAGGTCCTCTGCGGGGCATCCCAGGACGAAGGTTGGATTCTGTGAAAATCATCTTGGCAGAAATCCTCCTCTTGGCTGCAAAGGGAGGAGGAGAACATGAGGGGTCCTGGAGGTCAGTCTGGGTTCCACAACGGAGGATCAAGTAAGGAGACAAGGAAGGTTAGGCAGAAGAAGGAGAAATTGCACAGGGAGGTCCCATTAACCCTAACCCTCATCTCTCTCTTTCTCTCTTGTCTAGCTGGTGGGATCATGCGGCAGCACCAAGGCTATATTGGGCTACTTGCTCCATTATGTATCCTGTTCCTTTTCCTCCTGTTCACACTCACTGCCTCTTACAAACCCATCATCGTGGTCCATGGCCTGTTTGACAGCCCTTCCGACTTCCGGCAGCTGTTGGTGTTCATCAATGAGGTGAGGCTGAGGACCAGAATTCCTGGCATGAATGTGGGAAGTGGGAATAGAATAGTTCATGTATCTTAAAAGGTAAAGGTACCCCTGAACATTAGGTCCAGTCGTGGACGACGCTGGGGTTGCAGCACTCATCTGGGAGCCGCCATTTGTCCCAGACAGCTTCCGGGTCATGTGGCCAGCATGACTAAGCCGCTACTGGTGAACCAGAGCAGCTCACGGAAACGCCGGACACCCATACCACTAAAACTAATGGGCCTGTCACGAAGCTGGATGCGTTCTTTGATCTTTGATGTCTCAAAAGGGCTCTCAGTTTGGGATTTGGCAAACGAATCCTCAGTTGTTTAAGCGAAGCGTACCTGCAGGATGCATCAAACCTCTCTTGTGACTCTGATGCATACCATATATGCCACTCATCTGCTGCAGGGCAGACAAACAAAGGGTTTTTATTTTATTTATTTTTTGCTCTTACTAGCGGAAGACCTGTGTAATTTCACAAGAGGAAGGGAGGAAAGGAACAGGAGCTTCCAGTCCCTGGTGCCACCCTTCTTCCTTGCTCAGTCCCAGATCTTTATTTTATTTATTTATCTTGTTTAGGCTTTTATCGTAGAATCATAGGGAGGCAAGGGGCCTGAGGGTCATCCAGTCCAACCCCGTCTGCAATGCAGGAATCATTGCTAAAACATCCATGACAAGTATCCATGCAACTTCTGCTGAAAAACCTCCGAAGAAGCAGAGTCCACCATCTCTTGGGAGAATCTGCTCCACTGTTGAATGTCTCTTACCACCAGAAGTTCTTCCTGATGTTGAATCGGAATCTCCTTTCTTTTCACTTGAAGCCATGGGTTCGGGTCCTACCCTCCAGAGCAGGAGAAAACAAGCTTGCTCCATCTTCCATGTGGCAGCTCTTAAGATATTTGAAGATGGCTATCATATCTCCACTGTCTCATCTTTACCAGGCTAAACATACCCAGCTCCTTCGACCATTCCTCATAAGGCATGGTTTCCATGCCCTTGATCGTCTTGGTCACCCTTCTCTGCGCACCTCCCGGCATGCCAATATCCTCCTGAAACTGTAGGACCCAGAACTAGACACAGTACTCCTGGGGGAGTACTATCCTTTCCCCCCAAGGATCTTTGGGTAGAGATTTTACTTTCTTGGGCTCCATGATCACTGCAGATGGTGACAGCAGTCACGAAATTAAAAGATGCCTGCTTCTTGGGAGAAAAGCAATGACAAACCTAGACAGCATCTTAAAAAGCAGAGACATCACCTTGCCGACAAAGGTCCGTATAGTTAAAGCCATGGTTTTCCCAGTAGTGATGTATGGAAGTGAGAGCTGGACCATAAAGAAGGCTGATCGCCGAAGAATTGATGCTTTTGGAATTATGGTGCAGGAGGAGACTCTTGAGAGTCCCATGGACTGCAAGAAGATCAAACCTCTAGATTCTGAAGGAAATCAGCCCTGAGTGCTCACTGGAAGGACAGATCCTGAAGCTGAGGCTCCAATACTTTGGCCACCTCATGAGAAGAGAAGACTCCCTGGAAAGACCCTGATGTTGGGAAAGATGGAGGGCACAAGGAGAGCGGACGGCAGAGGATGAGATGGTTGGACAGTGTTATTGAAACTACCAGCATGAGTTTCACCAAACTGCGGGAGGCAGTGGAAGACAGGAGTGCCTGGCGTGCTCTGGTCCAGGGGGTCACGAAGAGCCGGACACGACTAAACGACTAAACAACAACAAATGTGATTCCATGCCTCAGAACAACAACCTTGTGAGGTATTCCATGCTGAGAGAGAGAAAACGACTAGCTCAAGGTCACACCGTTAAGTTTTAAGACAAAACAGGAGGAGGAGGAGTTTGGATTTGATATCCCGCTTTATCACTACCCAAAGGAGTCTCAAAGCGGCTAACAATCTCCTTTCCCTTCCTCCCCCACAACAAACACTCTGTGAGGTGAGTGGGGCTGAGAGACTTCAAAGAAGTGTGACTAGCCCAAGGTCACCCCGCAGCTGCATGTGGAGGAGCGGGGAAGCAAACCCGGTTCACCAGATTACGAGTCTACCGCTCTTAACCACTACACCACACTGGGTCCTCCCCTATCCTAGCCTGACATGCGCACCCGGGTTAGGGAACATTTAGCCCTCCAGATGTTGCAGTACAATAACATCTGGAGGGCCAAAGATTTCCCACCCTTGAGATAGCGGCTACACCCAACTGGCTTTATGCTTCGCCCTCTTCCCTGATTTCACCCCACCTCTCTTTTTCTCAGTGTTGATACGGGAGGGATAATTGTGTAAACATCTCTCCTAATAAGAGGCAGGGATGGGTTGTAATTTACCTCTCCAGGCCCTGTGTGACTCAGAGCCGTCACAGGTGGAGCCGTTGCAAAGATCCCTGTATGGCAGGCTGATGTCTGCACTGCGATTCACTGGTTAGGCTGGAAAGGCAAGTTACCTGGGTAGTAGAAGAGGAAGCGTGGAGTTCTGGCAACTCCTGAGTGCTTGCTTGTTTCAATTTCATTTGCAGAAATAGAACCACAAAGCTAGGAGAGTTCTTAACTGGCCCCTGGTCACCAGTCAGATAAAGCATTTGCAAGACTCTCTCACTCTGTATGTGGCATTACACCGTGCAAATGCAGAATGGGATGCAGTTTCCCGAATGTTTGCTTGTTGTTTTTTTAATGTAGTGGCATAGCTTAGGGGGAGTTGCCTCGGATTGTTAGGTAAAGGGACCCCTGACCATTAGGTCCAGTTGTGGCCAACTCTGAGGTTGTGGCACTCATCTCGCTTTATTGGCCGAGGGAGCCGGCGTACAGCTTCCGGATCATGTGGCCAGCATGACTAACCAGAGCAGCGCACGGAAACGCCGTTTACCTTCCCGCCAGAGTGGTACCTATTTATCTACTTGCACTTTGACGTGCTTTCGAACTGCTAGGTTGGCAGGAGCAGGGACTGAGCAATGGGAGCTCACCCCGTCGCAGGGATTCAAACCGCCGACCATCTGATCAGCAAGCCCTAGGCTCTGTGGTTTAACCCACAGCGCCACCCGCGCCTCTTGCAAAATTGTTAGGGGTGCAAAATTTCAACACCCAGTGCTGCCTCAATACAGCTGCACGCTTCCGTCGCTGGGCTCTGTTGAAACCGGCGTCCACATGTGAACCAGGAAGCGACTTCTCCAGACAATGGAATGACTCTTTCATTTCTTATCTCTGCAGCAGTGATCTCCTGAGTTACATGGATACTATTACATGCATGCATGCTACGTCCATTTCCCTCCCACCCCTACGTGCAGCCCCGGGCACTGGCAACCCATGCTACACCACCGTTTTAATGCACATGTTTCTAGTCCTTAAGAATGCATTGATAACTTTGGACTTTGCAACGACTGTTGCACAATGCAACATCTGGGCACTGCCTTGTGGAGTCTTGGGGCACAGCTAGGCAGTAATGGCAGCAGGACTCTGCTTTGCGGCTGCCAATTCCCTATAAAATGTGAGGGTTCTGCCAGCGATATAAGGCACGATTAAACTAGGCAAGAGGATTGGGCATCATAGCACGGGCAGACAAACTCACGCTGCCTGTGCTTTTTTCTACCTAATCCTGCTCTTAATTTATTTGTTCATTTCCGTTCCTGAATTGTTTCCTATTCCCAGAGTTCCCTGGGAAAGGGGATAGATTGCTGAACTGCTCTGGGAACTACAGTTCTGTTTGGGGGGGGGGGGAAAGGAGTCTACTAACGAGAGCTGGACCATAAAGAAGGCTGATCGCTGAAGAATTGATGCTTTGGAATTATGGTGCTGGAGGAGACTCTTGAGAGTCCCATGGACTGCAAGAAGATCAAACCTCTCCATTCTGAAGGAAATCAGCCCTGAGTGCTCACTGGAAGGACAGATCCTGAAGCTGAGGCTCCAATACTTTGGCCACCTCATGAGAAGAAAAGACTCCCTGGAAAAGACCCTGATGTTGGGAAAGATGGAGGGCACAAGGAGAAGGGGACGACAGAGGACGAGATGGTTGGACAGTGTTCTCGAAGCCACCAGCATGAGTTTGACCAAACTGCGGGAGGCAGTGGAAGACAGGAGTGCCTGGCGTGCTCTGGTCCATGGGGTCACGAAGAGTCGGACACGACTAAACGACTAAACAACAACAACTTTCTGCTCCCGAAACAAACTACAGCTCCCAGAATTCTTTGCAGCCGTGGCGGGTGGGGAGCCATGACTTAGCAGAACAGTAGTTCCTATGCATGTGTGGAGGTAACCGTAGTTATGATGTGAGCCGCGGGTGCTAGCCGTGAAAAGCAGTGTTGCAAAAACTAAAGTTAATATTTATTTTTTAAGAAACGTATTTTCGGTGGGGTAGCAGCAGCTCACCTTAAGCCTTGGGTGCTCAAGAGAGGTTGAGCTTTCAGCCCTTTTAAAATCTCTTCTCTCTTCCCTCTCTCCCTCCATCTCTCTGTTCCCGCTGCTTCCTTGCAGACCCACCCGGGTACCAATGTCACAGTCATTGATCTGTTTGACCACACCGAGAGCCTGAAGCCTCTTTGGATGCAAGTGGAAGGTTTCCGGCAAGCCATTTACCCCATCATGCAGAATGCTGTCGATGGAGTCCATCTCATCTGCTACTCCCAAGGTATGTGTGAGCTGAGGGCTTCAGACGCTCTTTCTGGGTCTAGCCAATGGCCCATTGTCTGGGCACAGGAACACAGGGACCTGCCATATACATAATTGGACCATTGCTCTGTCCAGCTGCTGGTGTTACACCCATTGTCCTGGGTTTTAGAGAGGATTTTTTCCTCAGTGTTATGCAGAGATTATCATTTTCTGATTACTCTGGGAAACACCATGTTTTTTCCGTGTATAACACGCCCCCATGTATAATAATAATAATAATAATAATAATAATAATTTTTATTTATACCCCGCCCTTCCCGGTTTAAAAACTGGGCTCAGGGCGGCTAACAGCAAATAGAAAACGTTGATTAAAATGTGACTTAAAAACAGCATAAAACCTATGTATGCAAGCATTCGATTGACGTTGGAGAGAGACTGAGTTGAGAAGCAAGACCAAGGGTACATATTGATATAGGAATGTAAAGAAATATACAATAGTAAGAGTACATTCATTTTTTTAAAAAAAAGTAATATACAACGGGATAGACAGGAAGTCCAAAGTGTTTGTATATATATATGATTTCAGAGTAAGTTTGGAATAGCTTTTTATTTTTGGTGTTTTTTTCCATTTTTCTTTTTTCTTTATGTATATAAAGTATACATACAGGTTGGGAAATTAGAGTATAATAAGTTTTGTGATGTAATATGACAATGTCTGACGATGTAACGTAAGAACTTTAATAAATAAATAAATATAAAAAAGCACAAAACAGCATAAAATACAACATAAAATGCAGCATCAATATCAATATAATTCAAAAAATTAAGGGATCATTTCAGGGAGGGAGGGAACAAAACACCCCAGTTGGTGGACATCAAATGATCACCAGGGCTAACTGGCCAAGTTGGTCCTACTAGGGCCAGCAAGGAGACCAGGAAAGAATTTAAATGTGGGGTCACAGACAGGGTTTCTTCATAGACGGCCCCTCTTTTTTGGGACTCCAGATTGGGAAAGTGAGCAGTGACCACCAGTTTGGGGTGTGTGTGTTTCTTGTAATAAATAATTTTTTTGAAGAAATGGAGCAATGTGGAACAAGGTTGACATCATATGGGACTAAGGTTCTTCTTCCTCTAAAATATGACTCCCCTTCTTCTGTCCCCCAGGAGGACTCATCTGTCGCGCTCTCCTCTCCACGACGCCCGACCACAACGTGGACACCTTCATCTCTCTCTCTTCCCCACAGATGGGGCAATATGGGGGTAAGTCGTGGGGGCAAGACCAAGCCAGCGATTCCACGCCTGGAATACTGTGTCCCAATTCAGGGCACCACAATTTAGGAAGGGTGTTGACAAGCTGGAACATGCGCAGAGGTGGGCGACTAAGATGATCAAGGGCATGGAAACCATGCCTTATGAGGAACGGTCGAAGGAGCTGGGTATGTTTAGCCTGGGAAAGAGGAGACAGAGCAGAGATAGGAGAGCCATCTTCAAATATCTCAAAGGCTGTCAACATGAAAGAGGGAACAAGCATGTTTTCTCCTGCTGTGGAGAATAGGACTCGAACCAATGGCTTCCAAGTTACAAGAAGGGAGATTCCGACTCAACAACAAGAGCAAGCTTGAGTGTTGCTTGATACTTTTCTCTCTCACCCCTCTCTATATAAAAGTATATTTAAAAAAAAAAAAAGATTTTACATATGCCATTGTTTTCACTGTTGTTGTTTTTATATACAGTCATACCTCGGGTTACAGACGCTTCAGGTTGCGTTTTTTGAGTTATGGACGCGCCAAAACCCGGAAGTACCGGAACGGGTTACTTCCGGGTTTCGGCGGTTGCGCATGCGCAGAAGACCGAATCACAACCCATGTGTGCGCAGACACGGCACTGCGGGTTGCAAGCACTGCGGGTTGCGAATGTGCCTCCCACAAGGATCACATTCGCAACCCGAGCGTCCACTGTACAGTGGTACCTCGGGTTAAGTACTTAATTTGTTCTGGAGGTCCGTTCTTAACCTGAAACTGTTCTTAACCTGAAGCACCACTTTAGCTAATGGGGCTTCCTGCTGCTGCCGCGCCGCCAGAGCACAATTTCTGTTCTCATCCTGAAGCAAAGTTCTTAACCTGAAGCACTATTTCTGGGTTAGAGGAGGATGTAACCTGAAGTGTATGTTAACCCGAGGTACCACTGTATATGTAACTGTTTCTTCATTATCTTGTAAATTCACTTAGGTGTGCCTCATGGTAAGCAATCAATCAATAAGAAAGAAAGAAAGAAAGAAAGAAAGAAAGAAAGAAAGAAAGAACCACAGAGGGGGAAGCAAAGTCTGTGCTCACTCTCCTTTGATTCCTTTTGTCATTTCAGACACCAAGTACTTGAAGTGGCTCTTCCCGGAGCACATGAAATCCAACCTGTACCGTTTATGCTACACGCAGCTGGGCCAGGATTTCTCAATCTGTAACTACTGGAATGGTGAGATTGCTGCTGCTGCTATTATTGCTACTACCGAGATCACAGATCATAGAACTGTAGTGTTGGAAGGGACCACGAGGGTCATCTAGTCCAACCCGCTGCAATGCAGGAATCTTTTGCCCAACGTGGGGATCGAACCCACGAGTCTCATGTTAATAATAATAATAATAATAATAATAATAATAATAATAATAAATTATACCCCACCCATCTGGCTGGGCTTCCCCAGCCTCTTTGGGCGGCTTCCAACAAAATATTAAAATACAGTAATGCATCAAACATTAAAAGCTTCCCTAAACAGGGCTGCCTTCAGATGTCTTCTAAAAGTCTGGTAGTTGTTGTTCTCTTTGACATCTGGTGGGAGGGCATTCCACAGAGCGGGTGCCACTACCGAGAAGTCCCTCTGCCTGGTTCCCTGTAACTTGGCTTCTCACAGTGAGGGAACCGCCAGAAGGCCCTCAGAGCTGGACCTCAGTGTCTGGGCAGAACGATGGGGGTGGAGATGCTCCTTCAGATATACTGGACCGAGGAAATGGAAATGATCTACCAACTGAGCTATCCCGGCAACCCTGGGGTTTCTGAGGCTTCCCAGTAGCTCTCATTTACATACCCAATTTACAAGAATGTAAATTGCATACATGCAATATGCCTTGCATGAGAGTTTGGACCTCAATGTTTATTTATATGATGATGATGGTGACTATTATTAATATGGAAGAATCTACAGAAAACGGCCCAAGAAGAATCTACAACCATCCCTGTTCCTCCACCACCACCTGTTATTTGACAATTTGAGTTGCCAAAACAGCTTTTGCTTACGTTATTTTGGCAGTGCTTACAGCAGCCCTGTAAGGTAGGCCAGGTTATCCTCCCCATATTTCGAATCGGTATCCTTGAGGATGAGAGAGAGAGCGCGCAGCTTGCGAGGACCATTTGTGGCTGAGGACAGATAAGAATCAGAGATGTCCCAGCTAATACTTTTAACCCTTAGGGACTAGCTCTGATGGCTCCATTGTGGATTTCCCATCCATCATCCTGTCTTTCGGAACACCGGAAATTTGCTACTACCAGGAAGCAGGATATTGGGATTGCTTAAACTTGCCCTGAAATTACTCCGTAGATGGTCATTGCTCATGTTTATGCTCTTATTTAGATGTCATAAAGTGTCATAAAGGCATTGCCCTCCAGACCAGAAAAACCAGTGACCTCAAATAGTATGTGGCTTGGCTCACTTGTGCGAGTCATTGGCAGCTATGAGATTTCCCGCAATTCTGATGAAGTGTGCAACCTATGCCATAATAAATTATGTTAGTCTGTTGCAGTAACAACAAGAGTCTCGTGACACTTTGAAGATGGCTATAGCTGATAATCTGGCATTCGCTTTCTTCTTCTGGCTCTTAGTAGTCTCAGTTGCAGGAGCTAACAAGGATTCATTTGTCAGACCTCAGTACAGTAGTACCTCTGGTTTCGTCCTTAATTCGTTCTGGAGGTCCGTTCTTAACCTGAAACTGTTCTTAACCTGAGGTACCACTTTAGCTAATGGGGCCTCCTGCTGCTGCTGCGCTGCCACCATGCGATTTCTGTTCTCATCCTGAAGCAAAGTTCTTAACCCGAGGTACTATTTCTGGGTTTGTGGAGTCTGTAACCTGAAGTGTCTGTAACTCGAGGTACCACTGTACTGAGGCCTGGGCTGTGTATCCTTTTCATGTAAATGTGCCTTAGAGGTTTCTATGTTTGAGCGTTATATGAATTATATTAAATTGGGGTTTTTTTTAAAGCAGAGGTTGGAGGGACATCTGTCAGGGATTATTCGAAAGTGATTCCTGCAAAAGTGATCTCCTGAGAGCCTGTGTGGTGTAGTGGTTAAGAGTGGTGGACTCGTAATCTGGGGAACTGGGTTCGCGTCCCCGCTCCTCCACATGCAGCTGCTGGGTGACCTTGGGCCAGTCACACTTCTCTGAAGTCTCTCAGCCCCACTCACCTCACAGAGTGTTTGTTGTGGGGGAGGAAGGGAAAGGAGAATGTTAGCCGCTTTGAGACTCCTTCGGGTAGTGATAAAGCGGGATATCAAATCCAAACTCTTCTTCTTCTTCGTCTGCATTCCTGGACTAGATGACTCTCGGGGTCATTCCAACTCTACAATTCTCCCCTGTCAGGTGACTTTCCTTCGCCCAGATTTCCCTTTGCTCAGAATTAGGCAAATTCACGGAGGATATCGATGGCTGCTACTAGCCACAATGGCTGTGTTCCAACTCCACCAGGGTTTATCCAAATTTATAGCTAGACCCATTATGCACAGTATAAAAAGAAAAAGAATTGCACAGTGCGAAATAAGCGTTTGGGTGTATGGGAGTTAATTAGGAGCCAGGGAGTTTCTAAAAAGGAAATAGATTAGAGGATGAACACGGATTCCTTTTGAATTTCCATCTCCATACATTAATACTGTATTAGGAGACTAATTCTTTGGGACGCGGATGGCGCTGTGGGTAAGAGCCTCAGCGCCTAGGGCTTGCCGATCGAAAGGTTGGCGGTTCGAATCCCCGCGGTGGGGTGCGCTCCCGTTGCTCGGTCCCAGAGCCTGCCAACCTAGCAGTTCGAAAGCACCCCCAGGTGCAAGTAGATAAATAGGGACTGCTTACTGGCGGGAAGGTAAACGGTGTTTCTGTGTGCTGCGCTGGCTTGCCAGATGCAGCTTGTCACACTGGCCACGTGACCTGGAAAGTGTCTCCGGACAGCGCTGGCCCCCGGCCTCTTAAGTGAGATGGGCGCACAACCCTAGAGTCTGTCAAGACTGGCCCGTAGGGGCAGGGGTACCTTTACCTTAGGAGACTAATTACTTGACTGGTCAGGTTAATGAAGGGAAATGATCTGTTCCCCCAAATAATTGAGGGGGACACACCTTTATTTCCCCTTCCTTTTTCAAGGCACCTCTATTTTTGTTGCTGTGTTTTTCGTTTCTCCAAATTTCCAGGCTTTTTCTCCTTTCTGTTATCTCCCTCCCCCACCTTCCTGTCTCTCTCTGTTCATTGTTATTTTCTCTTTCCTCTTTTGCATTCTTTCTCCTAGTTGCAGAAGCAGGCATTGTGCTGTCTGGCTGTGCAGTCGGTTTGGGGTGGGGGAGCTTAGAATAAACCCAGACTCATCTCGCATTATTGGCAAGGGAGCCGGCGTACAGCTTCCGGGTCATGTGGCCAGCATGACTAAGCCGCTTCTGGCGAACCAGAGCAGCGCACGGAAACGCTGTCTACCTTCCCGCCAGTAAGCGGTCCCCCTGTTGTGGGGATTAAAAGAGCAGGGGGAAGGACCTTGAGCTCTTTGGAGAAGGAGGTGGGAGATAGACAAAATAAATAGAAATTTTTCCATTGCAGGGAAATGCACTCTGCACATGCTCTGAGTCAGTCGCGGCTTCTTGCTACTGCTACGCTTGTTCCAGAGATAAAACCTGCCAAAAAAAAAATAAGTTCCAGGGCTGTGTTCAAATCTAAAGCCGTTGTCCGTCCCTCCACCACCAAAAAAAGATACTGGTTTTTAAAATGTTATTTATTTATTTTATATTTATATATTAAAAAGAAGGGGGAGGAGGAGTTGGAGCCTGTCTCCTGGGTTCTGTGGGAAAAGGCCAGTGTAGAAAGCAAACGAGATTTCTCTGCCTTTTTCAGATCCACACCATCGGGATCTTTACCTCAACAACAGCAACTTCCTGGCTCTGTTGAATGACGAGAGGCTCCATCCCAACGCAACAGGTAATAAAGTGGCGTTGCCCCTCAGTTCCCAATGTAAAAGGGGGAGTGGTAGGCTAGCCCCACTTGGGAGGCCTTCCCCACATCTCCACTTGCAGCTGATGCTTGTTTTATCCCGGCAGCCCTGTCCATACAGCCCCACAGCCCTGGGCGACTTCTGCTCAAAACCCGGTGATGGGGACCAAGTCCAGGGTCAGGGTTCAGGGCAGGTTTGGGCATCTCCAAGGGTTGTGAGAGGAGTGTCCAGGTGTGAGGCTTCATCTCCGGTAATGGAGAAAGCTCACGGAAGGGGTGTCAAGTCAGAGGGGGAAGGGTCTGACGGAGAAGACACAACTGCTGGCCTTAATGGGTCAGTAGGGTATCAGGTCACAGGTGCGTGGAAAAGTGTCGCACAGTGTGATTCTGGGAATGCTGAAGGGGTTCAACAGGTGCCTGGGAAAGATGCCGGGAAGGGGCACAAGGCAAAGGTAAAGGTGTTGAGCTCAAAAGGTCATGTCAGAATGGTTTCAGCAAGAGGGGGTGTTGAGTTTGGAACTTAACTGGTTAAGAAGTTCCCAGGATGCCTCAACATTCTGACGTCAGCTGTGGAAGCTGGGAGGAGCCTGGGAGGGGTTTCTGTTCTGTTCCCCTCTGGTCGTTGAGGGAGAAAGACGTAGCCTGTAATGGCTGAAAGGAGCCCAGGAGATCCCTGGGGGAATATCGGAATAAAGAGCTGAAAAGGACAAACCCTGGACTCTGTGTGTGTTTGTCTGGAAGCTAGGAAAAGGACGTGACAGTTTATCACCGCTGTGTGTTTATCTCTGCTAAGGTGTGACTGGAGCTACCGGACGACGGAGCTGAGTGGCGCAGCTGAGGGAAGCGCGCCGGACCGGGCTGCCATAAATAGCTAATTGAGGACCAATAAATCAATTAGCGGGGCCCCAATATCGTAAATCTCCACACGACTTAGGTCTGCGTTGCTAATCTTTGGTCAGCTAGGTCTCTCAGGCAGTCTTGCTCGTAATTTCTTTTTTTTCTTCTATAATTTTTATTACATTTTACATTTTAGAAAATTAATTCAAACAACCTTAAAACACCAATGACTTCCTTTCTTCTCTTTCCATGGTTCATTTTCCAAAACATAAATCCCTGTATATTTTATATAAACTAAACCAGTCAATATTCCATTATTACATCCATCAAAACCACTGTTGAGTTTATCTTAATGCTGCCCACGTTTTCAAATAAACACAGTTTTCCTCCCTATATTCTATAAACGTTTTCCAACCTTCTTTAAACATATGTTTAAATGTTTATAGTCTTGCTCATAAGTTCCTTCCTGAGGTGGAAGGAGAACTCCGTTGCTAAATGCACACCCACAGCGAAGCAATGGCTGAAGAGAAAATTGAAACGGGGGCTTCCTAGCTTACAAATTATCCTCTTAGGGCCAAACTAGTCATGTCGGTGGATGCCAATGTTTGTTCGTTCAGGTGTCTCCCCAATTCCTATCTCAAACATTTTCCTCCCTGGTCTGATTCACTTCCAATGTCAGTGCTGAGTTGAGAGAAAAGTGTCTGCCATGATAGAGTGCCTGGCTCTTCTCCTTCACCTGCAAGAGTGTTGTGTAATAATAATAATAATAATAATAATAATAATAATAATAATAATAACCGACACCCTCCCCAATTCCAGTTGATTTATGAAGAATAAACATGGCTGCCTCCCCTGTCTGTTGTGGTCCTCATAGTCTTTTACTGCCTCAGAGGTGTTACAACCAGGCCAAGTCTCAAGTTGAATAGGATAGCTCTGTTTTATTAATTTTTTTAAAAAAGGCCTTGCCAGCATCCTGACACAGAAATTTAACAGGTTATTCGCCCACAACATCTGGCAACTGAGCACGACGTTTTGAAGATGGAGTGTTCTTTTGTTTGCGCGAATGCCGCTGCCTCAAGTTAAACTTTTCCCAAAATGGAGAGTTAAAATGTGGGGGTGGGGAAATCCTTGCTTGCTAAAAGTTTATATGTCAGGCTGCTGGAATTCTCCAGAAAGGTTTGCCAGGCTAGTTCAGCTGTGGCAGCTTTAGAAAGGCTTGTAAAAACCTTTCTGTGTTTTGTTTTGCCAATTCTTGTTGGAACTGATGCAGTTGGATTCTGGATTCCTGCCACAAACTGCTTGCTGACTGTACTGTGTGTGTGTGTTGTGTTTTATGACTTTTCACTGGGTATTTCCACCCCCCCCCTGTTTTGCTTTATTTTAATCACCTGCTATCTAGTTTTTAATACTTCAAGCTGTCTTGTGGGTCCTCATAGGACATAGGAAGAAAGGCAGGCGACAAATATTTGAAGGAAATAAAAGTACGGGAGCAGAGCCAGAAAACAAGTCGTCACAGCTTATTCCTCTTTTTTTACTGCAGTTTGCCTTAAGACTTCTAAACAGCAAAGCGCTGTGAGATCAGTAGGAAATGGGCACATCTATCAGTTTTGTGTTCTTTCAGTTTCTCATTTGTTTCTGTCCCCACCTTCCCACACCAATTTGTGAGGCCATAATAAAATTTAAGTTGCTGGCCATCACTACCTCTTGCAGGAGCAAATTATGTAGATTAACTCAGGTCCACATCTCAGAGAATTCAGAGTGAGGAGAGATCGGTTGTTGTCTGTCAGGGGCAGAGGAAGGAGAAGAACATGGAACAAAGGAGAAGAGTCTCCACAGTGACTTTTGTGACCAGATTTCTGAATCTTTTGCCTCTCTCTCTCCCAATACAGCCTGGAAGAGAAACTTCCTGCGGATCCGAAAGATGGTTCTGATTGGGGGTCCAGATGACGGTGTAATCACGCCATGGCAGTCCAGGTGAGCTTTTGGAAGCCGCTAGAAGACCCTCTCACCCAGGTTGAGATACGATACAATAATCTTTATTGTCATTGTCCCATACAGAACAACGAAATTGAAAACATCTTCATAAGACATTCAAAAACCAACAAGCCTGCTATCCCAGCTATCCCAGCCTGGTTAGCCCCCTAAAAACTCTGATACCCCATTTTTAAACACAATATACTCCCATAGAGACTTCTTAAAGGTAAAGGGTAAAGGGACCCCTGACCATTAGGTCCAGTCGTGGCCGACTCAGGGGTTGCAGTGCTCATCTCGCTTTATTGGCCGAGGGAGCCAGCGTACAGCTTCCGGGTCATGTGGCCAGCATGACTAAGCCGCTTCTGGCGAACCAGAGCAGCACACGGAAATGCCGTTTACCTTCCCGCCGGAGCGGTACCTATTTATCTACTTGCACTTTGACGTGCTTCCAAACTGCTAGGTTGGCAGGAGCAGGGACCGAGCAACGGGAGCTCACCCCATCGCAGGGATTTGAACCGCCGACCTTCTGATCAGCAAGTCCTAGGCTCTGTGGTTTAACCCACAGCGCCACCCGCGTCCCAGAGACTTCTTACACTGCATTTAAAACCAAAATTGCATTTGGATAGAAACTATTTCTCAGGCGGCTATTCCTAGTCTTTATAACCCTGTACCCTCTTCCAGAAGGCAGAAGCTGAAAGAGATCATTTCTGGGGTGTGCACTATGCTGCGCTATCTCTGCAGCTTTCTTATGGCACCTGGAAGCCATAAGGGGGAGATTCAGATCTTGATGAAGTAGATCAGGGACAGGCTATATGTTACCCTTCTGGGACTACAACTCCCATCATCCTGCACCACTGGCCATGCTGGCTGAGGCTGATGGGAGTTGGAGCCCAACAACATAAAATCATAGAATTGTAGAGTTGGGAGGTACCCTGAGGGTCATCTAGTCCAACCCCCCAGCAATGCAGGGATCTCAACCAAAGCACCAATGATGGATGGCCATCCAAACTCTGCTTAAAAACCGCAGGGGTAGAGGCAAGTGTTCCTGAACTACGTTGATGCATTGGGTGTGTGCGTTAAATACAGTTTAAAGTCCCAATACAGTGGTACCTCGGGTTAGATACGCTTCAGGTTACATATGCTTAAGGTTACAGACTCCGCTAAGCCAGAAATAGTACCTCGGGTTAAGAACTTTACCTCAGGATGAGAACAGAAATCGCGCGGCGAGGCAGGAGGCCCCATTAGCTAAAGTGGTGCTTCAGGTCAAGAACAGTTTCAGGTTAAGAACGGACCTCCGGAACGAATTAAGTTCTTAGCCTGAGGTACCACTGTAATATGAGTAAATGAAGACTCTGGATTGCTTTTACAGTGGTACCTCGGGTTACAGACGCTTCAGGTTACAGACTCCTCTAACCCAGAAATAGTACCTCGGGTTAAGAACTTTACCTCAGGATGAGAACAGAAATAGCGCGGCGAGGCAGGAGGCCCCATTAGCTAAAGTGGTGCTTCAGGTTAAGAACAGTTTCAGGTTAAGAATGGATCTCCAGAACGAATTAAGTTCTTAACCTGAGGTACCACTGTACTGTGTTTTATTAATTTATCCATTAGCACCAGATAGAACCACTTCTCTCACTTCTGTGTTGAAGGATCCTTTCTCGCTTCCTGCATGTTTTAAGAGTGAAAACTCTCGGTGCCGCTGCTGTTTTGATTTCTCTCCAGCCTGTCTGCTGACTCATTCGCCTGCTTATGCCCCAACAGTAGAGCAGGATAATAAACTGATAATAAATGAGGATAAGGCTTTTGTCTTCAAGCACAGATTTCTGCTTTCTCTGTCACTCTTGCCCCTACTCCACCCGTATGGTATCAATGCAGAGACGCCATTCGGACTTGCCGATAAGGCCATAAGGCTTTTAGGCTTGTGAATCAAAGCACGCAGCCCAGATTACGAACTTGTCTCACTGTTGAGATCTTTGTTGGAGGGCCAGCTTTGGAAAGTCCCTGTTCTGAAGTGAGATAGGGCTGCCTATTCCTCTGGCCTCTTGCCGTAATGCTTTTTAGGTGCCTTGCAGAATCCCTGTTGTATTCCTAGGCCATTGATACTGTGTATGCTTTCTTTGCTGCTGGTTCCAGCCCCCGACCCTCCCAGTATTGTATCCTAATTTTCTTTTTTTCTTAATTTTTATTGAATTTTACAAGAAACAAAAAACAATACATAACACTGTAAACACATTTATATACATGTTTTCCAAAATGCAAACTAAAAAAAGAAAATAATTTTCATAACCAATTTGTTGTTGTTTAGTCATTTAGTCGTGTCCGACTCTTCATGACCCCATGGACCAGAGCACGCCAGGCACCTCTGTCCTCCACTACTTCCCGCAGTTTGGTCAGACTCATGCTGGTAACCTCGAAAACACTATCCAACCATCTCGTCCTCTGTCGCCCCCTTCTCCTTGTGCCCTCCATCTTTCCCAACATCAGGGTCTTTTCCAGGGAGTCTTCTCTTCTCATGAGGTGGCCAAAGTATTGGAGCCTCAACTTCAGGATCTGTCCTTCCAGTGAGCACTCAGGGCTGATTTCCTTAAGAATGGACATGTTTGATCTTCTTGCAGTCCATGAGACTCTCAAGAGTCTCCTCCAGCACCAGAATTCAAAAGCATCAATTCTTCGGCGATCAGCCTTCTTTATGGTCCAGCTCTCACATAACCAATAATATTACCAAATTCATGCTTCAAACATTACAATATATAAATCTTAGTTAAAATGTTATAAAAGACTTCTACTGCATTCACCGCACATCTCTTAGTTATCTTGCTCGCCTTCACATCTGTTTTTCAGTCATTTCCCTTCCTTAGATTCTTTCATAATCAGTCAAATCTTTATGTTCTCTATATTCTTCACAAGGTTAGTCTAGGCACAACCAAACTTTCATATTTGAGCTTTGCTTGTATAAATATTTGTTTAAGCATTCCCATTGTTTCTGAATTCTGATTTTTGATTTATGCCTTATTAAATCTGTCAGTTTTGCTAACTCCAGGTACTCACATAGTTTACTGAACCATTCCCCTTTTGTTGGGATATAATTTCCTTTCCAGTGACTGGCTACCAACCTTCTTGCTGCTGTTGTTGCATACAGAAAGATTTTAATTTTGTCTTGTATCCTAACTTTCATTGCTTGCTTTGTTGTATTTCAGATAAGCTACCTTGAGAGTAGGTAGAGCAGGTCTGTAGCTCAGTAGCAGAGCCTGTGCTTCGGAATAAAATAGTCAAGCCCCAGGATTTCCACGTAGGGCTGAGAGAAACACCTGTCTCAGATCCGGACACTGAGATCCAGCGGCGAGGGCCTTCTGGTGGTTCTCCCATTGCGAGAAGTGAGGTTACAGGGAACCAGGCAGAGGGCCTTCTCGGTAGTGGCACCCACCCTGTGGAACGCCCTCCCAGCAGATGTCAAGGCAATAAACAACTACTGTACCAGACTTTTAGAAGACATCTGAAGGCAGCCCTGTTTAGGGACGTTTTTAATGTCTAATGCTGTATTGTTTTTAATATTCAGTTGGAAGCCGCCCAGAGTGGCTGGGGAAACCCAGCCAGATGGGCAGGGTATAAATAATAAATTATTATTATTATATTATATTATATGGGCAGTGTCGACGATACTGAGTTAAACGAACCCAATGGTCTGATTCAGTATATGAGGGAGCTTCCTTTGTTAGGTATAAATATTTGAGAGAAAGAGAGAGAGAAATTCAGCACTGCCACACTGCCTCTCTGTTAGGTGGCGAAATCCCTTAATGTGGGCATTTTTTAAAAAAAAGTGGTGGTGATGCTGCACTGAAATATACTGAATTTTGCAAAAGGAAACAAAAACCTTGAAATATTGCAGGGTGTTAATTTTACAACCTGCGTGCTGTATCCTGTACTGCTCAAATCCAAACGCAGCACGTATTATCAATAGTTAGGTCATAAATCATAAGCACCCACATATAATATATGCATAGTTATGCAATAGTTCATAAACAAGAAATAGTAAGCATAATAATTGCTGTCACAGTGACGAAGGCACAGTAGCAATATTGTAGTGGTAGGTGCTCCAACGTAGGGAGAGTTTATTCAAACCGCTGTAGAGTGCAGCAACAAACAGCAAACAAAACAGGACTGCAACAGGCATGCAAGCAAAACTGTTTCTCATCCATGGCAGATACGAATTGCCTCCTAACAAATAGGGAGGGAAATTTTCAATGCACCCCCCCCCAAAAAAAAATCAATAGGAAATGAATTTATTCTTTGTTTTTAGGCATCAAAAGATTAACAAACATGTGTAGTTAACTAGCTGGTAACTTTCATGGACTTATTAGCCGGGATAAAATTGCAGGTGCATACTTTTCATATGGGTCTTATCACAGAATTTGTTCATTTGAAGCATTTTCGCTCCGGCCTTCAGCCAAGAAAGACTCCCAGTGTGGCTTTCAGCCTTCACAATTTGAAAGATGTGACACGAAAGGAAAAGGGATTGGGGAGGGAGGAGGAAGAAAGCAAACACAGGCAGCGGTTCTTAATTAAGAGTTTCAGGTCATGGGGTTGGATCTCAGCCCTGAGTGAGAGAGAGAGAGAGAGAGATCAAGCACTATCCTTGTAATGAAACCTCTTTCTTCCCTCTTCTCCCTGCAGTCTGTTTGCCTTCTATGATGATAACGAGAATGTGAGAAATATGACATCACAGCCGGTGAGTGAGGCTAGACTGCCAAATTGGGGGGACGGAGCCGGGGCAGCAGCATGTCAAAAGAAATGTACATTTTGGTTTACTCCGAAAGGAAGTTGGTATTGGGAAAGGAGGATGTTTTGTATTTTTAATAACTTGCTTTTAACTTGGATTTCCATTGATATTTTTAAATGCGCACACATGCACACACACAGAGAGAGAGAGAGTGAGTGGTACCTTGGTACTCAAACGGCTTGGCTCTCAAACAAATCAGCTCCTGGACGCTGCAAACCCAGAAGTGTGTGTTCTGGTTTGGGAACGTTTTCCAGAAGCCGAGTGTCCGACGCGGCTTCTGCTTGTGTGCCGGAAGCTCCCCAGCCAATCAGAAGCCGTGCCTTGGTTTTCGAACCATTTCTGGAGTCGAACGGACTCCTGGAATGGATTACGTTTGAGAACCAAGGTACCACTGTATATATCTTAGAATGTTCCTGTCAGTTGCAAGTCCGCTCCTCATCAACCTACCTGAAGGCCTAGATTTCGAATGTAAATATTTCTAGGCTGGTTTTCTTCCATAAGACCTTCAAAATGGCTCCTGAAGGCTAGGGGGGATGCCTCTGGATTTGAAATACCAGAGGGAACCCGAAGCATTTGTGGCCTAGTTAAAACAAGTGTGTAAGAACCAGGACCTCAAAATCCCGTCGAAAGGTACGTGTCTCTTGCGTGTTGCAATCTAAAGACACAACCAAGCGACATATTAACTGGTTTTGTCTTCAGATTCATGACAGGGCACTTTTTTTATTCTTCTTTTTTTGAGCAGGAGTTTAAATGACCTCGTTTCTCCTTTCTCTCAGGTCTACCTGCTGGATACCTTTGGCTTGAAGACTCTGGACGCTCGAGGCGACATCGTTTTTTACAAAATGCCAGGCGTCACCCACACAAACTGGCATTCCAACCTCACAGTTTATGACACTTGCATTGCCAAATGGTTGACGTAGCTGGCGGGGACTTGAGGAGAAGCTGGCAGAGGAGGAGAGTGTCCTAAACCGAGATGCGCTGTGGTACCTCATCTTGGCATTTCTTCCCAACCGAGAAGAAACCCCGCTTTTGTTACCTATAGCTTTTTTGTTTCGTTTTTGTTTTTAGGATGGTTGATATTTTCTTTCATAGCGGAAGAAACCTTTTTTACCTGCAGGACCTTTTGGGGAAGGCTTGGAGCAGTTTGGGGGACTCCAGGTGGCTGCAGGGCAGGAAATGACCATGCCATTTTTTAATTTTTGGCAGCTCTGACCTGTGAAAGCTGCAGGAAAAACCGCAAAAGGACAATTCAGCAGGATCAAATACTTGAGAAGAATTGGGGGGGGGGATTTAGGTGCTGAATTTAGCAAAGAGACTGAAATCAGGAAATGTATTACATTTAAATGCAACAGATAATGTTCCTATTTCATATTTCCCGCTTCCAAACCTCTTGCAGAAATCTATGCCTTGTGGAAGCTGGCCATATTTCTCTTTGAAATTCTGACACTGGAAAGGTTGGGTTTAGAAAATGCCTTTTCAATTGGACTTTTTAAAAAGACATCACCTTCTTTCTGGCAAAAATCTGAATACTGTTTCTAATGGAGACTAAAGTTCCAGAAAGGTGACAGAAACTAATTGTGAGAACGTTTCAATAAGCTAACATTATTTTGCACAGATAAGTTGAGATTTCTGCTTTGACATTTCAACAGAGAAGATGGGTCAGTTTGTAATCTTTTACCAAAACTCCAGTTCCCTGGCATTTTCAAATTTTAACCATGTAGGCGTCACCACAAAATCATCTAATGGTTCAGGGTTGCAGTTTTCCCAGTAATTTGCTTCAGTCTCTTTGTTTGCACCACAATGTTGGAAGGGGATTCAGAGCTTAGTCCTCCAATCATAGATCAAAACAAATATTTTACCGTAAATTATTGACTAAATGGAAATGCAATATGTATTTATTAGAAATGTGTATATTTCCCCTCCTCCTTTAGAAGCACATTCTCAGAAACTCAGGTTAGCAACAAAAATCAATGTAGACAGAAACTTCGTCGTTTGCTCTGTTGTCTATATATTTTTTAGAATGATATGTGCTTAAACCACCCAGTGACAGCTGTTAAGAGGCAGCTGCTGGCTGATTTTGGGGGAGCATCTGCTAAGGTACCCTCATCTCTTGGAGGGAAAACTGCAGAGCTTCACCACTTACAGAAAGGGAAAGGGACCTGGTGCCCTTTCTGATGTTTTGGGACTACAATGTCCATCATCCCTGACTGCCGGCCATGCTGCTTGGGCTGATGGGAGTTGGAGTCCCCCAAGATGCGAAGGGCCACAGATTCCCCACCCGCCTGCTACAGTATTAACTCTTACTATCACCAAGGTACAATAGGACATAACGCAATAGGACTCAGGTTTAACGCTGACTGTGGATCCAGGCTGTGTTTATGTGAAGCACATTCATTTCCTCAAATAATTACAGGCGCTGTCGTTTACCCCTCACAGAGTTACGATTCCCAGCTGCCCTTAACAAACTGCAGAAAAGAATGTGCCTCAAAGTGTATACTCAGCTGGAGCTTGAAAAAGGAAATGAAAAGGGAAATGAAGACAAGACAGGGTTCACTTTCAGCTGCGCTCGGTGAGGCTTGAGGGGGATAATTATTCTTGGAAATGGTTTACATGCTATGTGGAATGAGAGAATGGAACGCTAGACTGCTCCACTTCTAGCAGCGTGGAGAGAAGTTGTGTTTTTGAATGTTCCTCCACATAAAAGAAAAACACAAATCCTTTATGTAGTAAACTGGTACACTGGAGAGAAATGCTTAGCTTAGCTTAGCGCTTTACCTGTTGTCTTTGCTGCCTGCATGCTACAGAAGGGGCTTTTTAGCAGGGGAACATCTAGAAATGTGACCCACACAATCCGAAGTCCGGCCACCCAGACTCCTTATCCCTCCCTTTCATTCCATCTACTACGTTGTTCAGCTGGCTCTTAATGTGTTTCAACGTTCTTCCTTTGATGAGGTGATGACCAGAGCTGTGTATATAGCCCAGCTAGCAAGCAAATGGGCCATATTCAGATTTCATCATGCAAAGTTTGAGTTCGTTTGCACAGGCTGCCTGGATTTTTTTAAAAAAAATATTATTTGCATAAATCAGCCGAAAGGCGCAAAACTTTGGGTTTTACTGTAACGTATGGCAAGCAAGGTAGATTGTAGAGTTGAGGAAAATCCTCACTACAGTGGTACCTCGGGTTACATACGCTTCAGGTTACAGACTCCGCTAACCCAGAAATAGTACCACGGGTTAAGAACTTTGCTTCAGGATGAGAACAGAAATTGTGCTCCAGCTGCGAGGCGGCAGCAGGAGGCCCCATTAGCTAAAGTGGTGCTTCAGGTTAAGAACAGTTTCAGGTTAAGAACGGCCCTCCAGAACGAATTAAGTACTTAACCCGGGGTACCACTGTATTCCAAAGTAAAAGTGCAGCTAGTGGAGGTGATAAATATCTGAGGTGCCAGATTGCTGTGAGCATTTTTGGTTTGCTGTCCGAGTACCAGAAGAAGGCTACATTTGCACCGAACTCCCATCTTTGCTTAAGGTGCAAAAATCCTTGTTCCAGTGGTGGCTGGTTGACATAGGGCAGGAAGGAGGGAGGCCGGCAGTAGGTGGCGCCGGAGCCAATGGCAGGCAGAAGCAACGAATTCTACTTTTGTCCCCATCCTCCTCCCTGCTGAGTCCTATAGGGGGCAGCACTAAGCAGGTGGAAGCTGACAGGCAGCGCCACCCTCTGGTTGTAAATAAGAAGGCAGGCAGGTCTGGGCTGGCAGAGAGCAGGCGGACAGTGGGGCAGACTGACAGTGGTGCTCTTGAGTGTGCCCCATTCCTTTTTCCATATAAGTCAGTGGTAGGCAACCTTAATCGCCTTCTCAGTCCGGCCTGCGGACGGTCCAGGAATCAGTGTGTTTTTACATGAGTAGAATGTGTCCTTTTATTTAAAATACATCTCTAGGTTATTTGTGGGGCATAGGAATTCGTTCATTTCCCCCCCTCCAAAGTATAGTCTGAGGGACGGTCGACCGGCCCACGGCTGGAAAAGGTTGCTGACCCCTGATATAAGTGAATGGATGCATTTCCTTCACCGGGGGGGGGGGAGTGCAGAGAATAAAGCATTGCATTTTGGGCCACGGTTGCTGAGGTAAAGCCTTGGCATTCGGTTGCAAACATTTGGTGCTTCCTTCCCATGCAGCTGTCCAGTTTTAGCAAAGGTCTAAAGATCCTTCTAGCGGGAAGTGCCAAGGACTGGAGGTTCTAATAATAGAATAAGGACCTTTTAAAAAATACGCATTTGGGGTTTTTTTTGCAAAGCATGTTCTGTACTTTTCCACATGTGAACACAGTCCCAACGAAGTCACTTGGGTTTGCTTCAGATTGTACTTTGTTTCAGGACTCCACCTTCATAATAATGTTCATAATAATTATTATTTTGAGGCTCAAATAGTTAGAAAAATTGATGGACATTTGTGTGTGAAATTAACAGAACTTGGGAGTGGGGGCTGTTTTGAGGAGTTCATAATTTACTAGCCACTAGTGTGGATTTTAGCAGCATTGTTACAATACTTCATAGTTCTGCAGAAGCTTAAGATTTTATTTATATATTTTTGTGTTCTCACATGCAATGTCTTGAAGGTTTTTTGGGTTATTTTTGCTATGTAGCTAATACAGGATAAGGGATAAGGAAATGTTTTTGGCATGAATATTTATTTTTATCATATGGAAAGCTGAAGCCGTACACATTTTGGATCTGGCTTGAATTAGTAGAAGTAAGTGTCCCCCAAATTTCTGATGGCCAAGGCATGCTTTTAGTTGTTGCTGTTGTTGTTAAAATTGGAAGTGCAGGTGCTGTTGTTACACCTGAAAACCTTTCCTTTGGAATGTGTACGAGTCAGAACAGAGAATCTCACCCCTTCAATTTCTGCATGAGCTGCTGTCATCTAGGCCTACCTCCTGATATAAAAGTAAGACTTCTGGAACAGCGGCCATTGCTGCAACCTACGTTTAAAGCACACAGCTTCCCGCAAAGAATCCTGGGAACTGTGGTTTGTTGAGGGTGCTGGGAATTGTAGTTTGGTGGGTGTAAACTACGGCTCCCAATGGTTTGTCCAATGATTTTCCAATCATGCCTGATGCAGAGACAGGGCCGAATTGTTTTATCCTATCTGCTTGCCTCCCATATCTGGATTTGGAGGAAAGAGGTGCTAGACCAGTTAATCGTTCAAGGAGTTTGGTGGGGGTTCACACAGGCTTCCTCGTAGGATGGCAAGTTGTGAACTACCCTGAGTTGGATGGTGAGTCTGTGGCAATGAGTTCCCTACACAACCACCCATCCCACTTCCAGAAGGACTGTGGGGGCCGGGTGATCTGGTTGTGTGGCAAGGAGATCTGGCGGCTGCTCAGCATGAATCTGGTACTTGCTTGTGTCCTCAGTGTGGCATAAGTTACCTCTGAGCAGCTGCTGAAACCCTTTTCAGATTGGGGTTGCTGCAATTTGGGGGCTGCTTTGAAGACACACTCCAGAGGGTATGTACAGTGGTACCTCAGGTTACATAGGCTTCAGGTTACATAGGCTTCAGGTTACAGACTCCGCTAACCCAGAAATAGTGCTTCAGGTTAAGAACTTTGCTTCAGGATGAGAACAGTAATCGTGCTCTGGCGGCACGGCAGCAGCAGGAGGCCCCATTAGCTAAAGTGGTGCTTCTGGTTAAGAACAGTTTCAGGTTAAGAACGGACCTCCGGAACGAATTAAGTACTTAACCCGAGGTACCACTGTACCTTTCTAACCGCAATCCAGACACTACAGCCCTATTTTTCTCAATCTTTTGTCCAATGTGGGACTCACACTCAAACCCTGAGATTCAGAGTCTCGTGCTCTACCGAATGAGCTATCCCAGCCTAGTTACTGTTGTAAATAAAATATATGCCCTTTTCCCTTATGACTCGGCTAATGAGTCCCATCAGCAAAAGCCATGTGCATAGGCTTCGCCTTTGTAATAGGGCTCCCCCTCTATTCACCCTCAAAATTGGCTAGGGGTGGCGGCGGCAGAGAGGTCAAATAAAACAGCACACAAGAGGAGGCGAAGCAGCGATTGCTCCATCTGGCCTAAATGCTTGCTGGGACAGATCGATCTTAGTGCAACGTTGAGTTGGCATCTGTTTTATCTCGGGACATTGAATTCCTCCCATTAAGTTCCTTGAGAGTCTGAGCAGAGGAGACCATTTGCAGAACAGGTGATCCTGGCATTGCGTCCTCGAGAGCAAGTGAGAAGAGTGCATGAAAATGATAAAAAAGTGAGTCCCCCCCCCACACACAATGTAAAGCTATTGTTTCTCATTTTCCCATGTTCTAATAGCACATATCTGTGAATAGCACATGATCTATGAGACTTAGAGGAACTATTACAGCCCCTGTGGTTTCTTTCTTTCTAAATCTTATTTGCATCCCTGAAAAGCTTTCATATAATCTGCATTTCTCACGCTGACTTATGTGAGGTTCCCGCCTCCCCTCTTCTGTTTAGGTCCATTGTAGCTTGTGTCTGCAAACTTAGGTACAGTTTAGAGCAGGCATAGGCGAACTCCAGCCCTCCAGATGTTTGGGACTACAATTCCCATCATCCCTAGCTAACAGGACCCAGTGGTCAGGGATGATGGGAATTGTAGTCCCGAACATCTGGAGGGCCGGAGTTTGCCTATGCCTGGTTTAGAGTGAAGACAAAAGGAAACTATTATTTTCTTTTTTAGAGCGGTGGGGTTGCTCCCTAAGTACACTTCGCTACATTTAGTCGAGACATTTTCTTTCCCCTGCAAGGCCAGACTCAGGAGGTGTGGGGGATACAACTGTTTCAGGCTTGAACTGGAAAATCGCATGTGGGAAGCGATTGGCTGGTTTCCCATCATGTCACCAAGGTCACAACATAACACCTCACACCATTTTAACAACTTTAGGCTCTCCCAAGGAATTCTGGGGACTGTAGTTTGTCAAGGGTGCTGGGAACTGTAGCTCTGTGAGGGGTAAACTATAGTTCCCAGGATTCTTTGGGGGGAAGCCATGATGGTTAAAGGTGATTAAAAAAAATGTGCTTTAGATGTACAGTGTGACAGGGATGTAAGAAATCATTTTTCGTCAACTGCTCTCTGCAGAAAGAAAACATTAGGCGATAAAGGAACCTAAAAAATCTATGGACATCCACGTAGCATTTCTGAAGAATTAAAAAGCAGTTCAAAGTGAGAGCTGCTATTCAATTGGTTGGCTTGCCCAACCCTCATTTTAGCTGTGCTTTGGGCCTTATCTCACAACTGCCCTCTGTTTTTTTATGTTCTGCCTTTACCTTTTTACATGTCCCGTTGAACTTTTATGAGTATAAATTCCTCGGCCTGGAGTTCCCTTACTGCCCGCTGGGACTGTTTACATATTTATGGTTTAAAAGAACCTTATTTATTGCTGGTAAGTTCTAAGCATGGCTTGTCTGAATGGGGGAGCGAGCAGAGTTCGTCTCCTCCAAAAAATACCCCAACCCTGTGAGAAATTCTTCCTCTGCCTTAGGGTCAGGCATAGTTTTGTCAATGGGGTTACACATGGCCCTCTTATGTGGCCAAAAGAGGCCGGTTGCCTTCCCTGGCATCTAAAGTCTCTCTGTATTTATATGAATAAAAGCAATTTGTTCCCAAGAAGAAAATGTGCATTTCTGTGTGTTGTGTTCTGAGGAGTCACTTGAAAAGGGGAAAGAGGTGGGGGGGGGACATAAAAAGCTGCTGTTATGAGAGAGAAAAACACTGTTCCTTTTCCCTTATGGGGTACCCAAGAGCCCATATAGAGTCCTTTTGTAGGTTCTCTATCAGTAGGAGAAAATAACAGAGGCTAACCAGAAAATAATGAGAAGCAAAGCAGCTAGTAAGCCTGATCTTTATTAAAGCTGTTGCAACAGGGTGCTCCCCTCACATGCAGGAAAGGAGGAGGACCCCAAACAAAGGTGTGCCCGCCCTTATATAGACATTTTAAATTGCCCGCCCTGGAGTCCAAGACCACCACCCTCCGAAACATCATACCTACATCACAGAAAAGGCGGTCTACATCA